TGTTTGAAATTGACTCGTTTGTGTACCGTTTATTTGCCGATTTCAGACTTTTAAAAGCGATACATAGGTTTACTAACTTATTTTATGTGTTCTTTAGTTAACATTTGATGTGTGCTCAAGCCCTCTCCTGTTTTCCTATGAGGGATTGTGTTAATTGTTCCGTTTTATTATTTACTCATGTTCTAGGAAGAGATTAAGCTTTTTATGCTGAATAGCGTACTAGTTTCGGACTTCGACCAAAACCAAGAGCGTTCTTAACGGCATTGGGACGTTTTAAAGTTTATCTGTCAGTAAATAAAGTCTACTCTGTGGTCTCAGTTGAGTAGGTAGAAATCACAATAACATACACCAAGGTGATCAGATATAGCTGATGTAAAACAGATTCTCGTAATGAATACTGTACTCAATTTTATAGGAAGCAGGTGGAGTTTAGTTTCATTGATTTTGCATGAGTGTATACGAAATTGTGCGTCATGAAGAAGTAGGCTGAAGGATAGCCCATAAGTAACTCAGACGTTTGCTTGTTTCTGTTATATAGTCACGTATAAATACTTGATGCACGTGCCTTCTTGCTAGCTTCTAAAGGCTTAGGACTGATCGTCTTTAGCGAATAATGCCTGACATAAAGAACAACTGGATTGTTAAGTGGTTTGTTCATCGAAGCACTTTTGATACAGCATAATTCAGAAAATTATTATATTCATCAGATCTAAGTTGTCCGAAACTGTGTGGTTAGTGAGAAACCCAAGTGGGCCAAGAATTTTCACGTCGACTTGCAGCGTTTTGATATAATCCGAACGTTTGCATTGATTGCTACCTGGGAGGACAACAGGTTGTATAGACCCGTTTGGTGCCGTATGGGTCAGAAAACACAAATCACTAAAACTGCCGCACACCGTAACAATGGCGATATTAGATCGGGTCTTTTTCTTATGTTTGACCAGTGGCTCATAGACAGGCACTTTTCAAGTAACACTGGGCTTAACTAGAAGATATGCAATCCATGGAGTTAGTAAATCAACTGAAGAAAAAATGTAGAAATGGAAACACGGATTAAGAATAATCAAGAGAAGTTAAGATAATTCGGAAACCTGGGCTTTTGCTGGAAGCAAATCTTAAGACCTAACAATGACTGATAAAAATAAATACCAAGAGGGGAAGCAGCCGATAAACTGTGATAGTGATATCCTATAAGAATATATATATATACCGGCGAGATATATGCATATTATAAACTTTCAATATGGAGACTTCATGATGAGCAACTAGATGAAACAGGGTATATAATAGAAGTATACTAAAAGATGTGAAATTCATTAAGGTATGAGAGGAATAATGAACCCGAAAATGCAAACGAAAGTAGTGAAAAGTTCAGAAGCCACAAAACTTAAGGATTAGGATGACAGTTGTGTTGGCTACATGCATCAAGAGGGAAGAGAGTCAATATGAAAAAGACAGTAGTAGGACGAAAGAAGATAACTGAAGAATCGATATCTCGAACTCAAAAGAAACAATAAGAAATTAATGTGGCCATCGGAAAATCGTGGAATTGGTAAGAAGGAAATGTTTTGCAAACGCGAGTTTTTGAAAAATAGTTAGTCTTTGCAACTTAAAGTTATTTAGAACTGCCTTTGGTGAGAATGAGGCAATCAAGCTGGCTTAAAAGTTTGTGGCATGTATACAGACTACAAACTGGTACTTTGAGGGATAAAAATAATCACCCCTAACATTTGAGTCCAGAATCAGTTCCACTTAGGATTGAGGTGGGTCTAGCTGTTCATGAAGTATGGTGTTATACAATTTCAAATAGCTTGAAAAAAATGGTATGTACACATTTGAGTGGAATGCACCAGTACGCATGAGCCACTATGTGTCATTATATCAGACAAGGTGTCGTATCAGCTTTATGGTGTTAAACTCAGATGCACTCGGACGACCAAAAATGTTCTCTAGATTCGAGAATACTTCATTAAAAATTGCTTTCTGCGATTACAAGAAAATATAGTCCGAAGCGCTTAGAGTAAAACCTAAAAAGAGACCAGGGGACTCGTTTCACAAGCACCGTCTATTTGTGTCTTTTTCACATGATTTTTCTGCACAAATAGAACTTCGCCATTACCAAACACATAATAACAATCGGGAATGGAACCACCTCTCAGATTTCTAAATGTAATAATACGACATACTGTGAAACGTACAATGGCTGTTTCCCAATACATACCATACATTATAGCCTTGGTGAGTCTTCTGCAAACAGATCCGTTATTCATTGCTGCGCCCTTAATATCTGACAGTTTGTGTGGCTTTATTTTTGTACGTTGAGACAATCTGGACTGCAATTTTCAAAGATCGGTTGTGTGAGCGAATCTGTGTGAAAAAAACGTTAAAAAATAGTGTGTGCAATACTAATTATATGACGTTCTTCAATGAAAGCTTGCTATATTAATGGAGTCCTAACTGTCGTTATAAATAAAGGGTGACTTTAAGTAACAATGTACTCTATAGGATAAATTTGAAATTTTTAGCAATTTGACAAGGAAGAACCTGCTGTGAGGGCAACTAGGGGAGAGAAGTAGCGCACTGAACTACTTTTTGTAGTGGGTCATTCAATATGAATTTCGATCACACTTACTTATTATCCAACCCTTATCTCTTAACTCCGAAAACTTTTTAAAATTTCAGTACAGATCCCCATGATGGCAGGAATTTGAGGAGAAAAAACCTGAAATATAGGGTAGGACAATCTCAAACTTGGAGTCGTTATCATTAGTCAAGAAATGTAAGTAAATATATGAATTCGTTAGACATACGCAGATTTTGCATGAATCAGGCACTATTGAGAACTGTCTATAAATTTCCTGTCCCCGATATCCTAATCTTAGCAACAATATATCGATGTATGTACCATCTCATTTCGCTGCCGTTTTTAGTCGACGTTTTTCTTCGACACTCCAATTTTTCATAGGTAGTCCATTACGTTTTCCTCACTCGGACTAGTAACATTACTGTCAACCGTCAAACTCATACCGCGATATTTTAAGCTAAGTAGCATCATAGATTGATGTACTTGCTGTCATCTTGAAAATGTTTGAGCGTTTATAAATGGTCTTGAGTCAGTGTTTAGCATTTCCGACCATGGCTAAAGCAAGTTACTCGGTTTCTCATAAATGTTGCATAGAACTTATAACATCAAACGCTGGGGAGACCATAATTTGTGAACTGCATTTAGGTGATAATAAAAAGACCCTGAGGAAATCCAATCACTTTCTAGGGCCATTACAGAGTCATATGTTAATTAACTTAGAATAACGAATAAGTGTTTTCATTATGAACTTGCTTCAGCTGACATTACAAAGTTCCCTCACTCAAATACTTAGTCACACAGATAAATGAATTTGACGTATGAGTTTAAGGGTCAATACCTCAAATCTGATTGCTTCGCCCATAGATTATAGTCCACCAGCATGGACCTGAAGCTTCCAGCGTTGCTTTTTAAAACTGACTATACAAACCACACTTTGCATCTTTTTTAGCCCACAAGCCAGATTCATATATATTGAATCGTAAAGCTTAAAATATAATAGGTAAAGCGTAAACATCATGCACGTAGTCATGAAGTTCAAAAACAATCAACGTTTTTCGTTGACATTTTCAATTTAATCACTAAACCAACGAAATATTACACGACACTGTATCCTTGCACAAAAATTGGAAAACAGTTGTGACATAAGTTCGGTCACAAAAGATGTATTATTTTAGGCTGGCTTATCAGAAATATGAGATTAGAAAGCGACTGTACATGCACTGCATCTTAGAAACTCAAAAGAGTCCGACAGATCGTCGTTCACTATCTTTTTTTCTTAAATAGCACATCGGGTCTCACAGAACCACTTTCTCCTGAGTGAGAAACTAACAACAGACTCGAGCGAACCGCTTTCATATTTAGACTAGGGAGCGTTAATGACTTATGTGTTACAAAGTCCCATATTGGGTCCTGTTCTCTACACAATACGTGTCGACGATCAAACTGCGAAGATTATTTCACCTATATGGATCTTTGTGGATGTTATTAAACTGCCGTGAACTACCAGATGTTGAGGCGACGCACAAGAGCTCTCGAGAAATTCAGTGCTATCAGGAAAGCGGACACAAAAACAAGATTTAACACTTATAATTCAAAAACCCAAAGCGACGCAGTTTAAAACCACAAAGAGCATATGTGTTGACGACTTTGCCCGAGGTCCTCTCCACTTCTAAATTCACTTGAATGCTATTTAAGCCTTTTAATGAAAGAAAGAATGGATGGCAGAAAGTGCCGGAAAGGTATGATAGTGGCACTTTTTGACAGCTTTCAATAAATTATAGGGGTGTTAAAGGTAACCTTACAACAATGAGCAACCAAATATATACCTCATAACTTGTCTACAAAAATTTGTTACCCGAAGTTGACTGGTGAATACCACCAGGTACAGCTTAATGGAAACAACTTCAAAGAGCAAAGATCTAGGTGGAGTCCTCCATTTTTTAATCAAAGGTAGACCATATCTAGAACCCTATTTAATTTGAACGACTTAAAACTTTAAACGGACAGCTAGCAACGGAAACTTGGAAACTTAGTGAACACCAAAGTCCAACCAATTCGTTTGTTCCTCTTCACCTTAGTCCTTTCTTCATTCCACTGAATCTTGTTTCCTCAGCTTTCATACTGCAAACTATCAGTCACCTAATCAGCAACGTGACGGCTGCTAGTTTCAACAACTCTACTTTCCCGAGACTAACTCATTCTCCAACCTCAAAATAACCGTCGAATTCACTGAGATTAGTGAAGTTGAATAGCTGAACTACTTTTATTGGATGTTTCTGAGATTTCGATAATGCACTATAACATTTAGAAGAGAGTGTAAAAGTCAACTGGTTTACAATAGTCTGCTACAACGACATTGATTATTGGAAGCTTCGGTAATGTGCAGTATAACAAAGTCATTAACCTATTATCGTGAATGATTTGTAATCACGGTGTTAATAGTCTCATATTTGAGAAGTTTCCATGTTCGGAGTCTGCACCTGATACACCTCGAAGTCTTAACTGCATTTTTTGTATGACATCTGTCGTTTTCGACCAATCATTGGAGCATAATATCCGCCAGCAATATGCAAACAAGTTTTTAAACTTCATTGAGGTCTCCAATCTTCGCTGTAAAACTATGATCTGCAGTGAAAAGTTACTCGATAAATCTATAAATGCTATTTTAAGTAATTTGTTTGATCCTAAATTTTTATATTCAGGGGCGAATTATACAGAACGTCTTGAGAATGATCAATGCAGTTTTACAGGTATATACATACATCAATAAATAAACTGGACGCCTAACTTTAATATAGTTCTGCAGTGTTTGCTTCTTCTAGCTAGTCCGAAACTGAAGCTGAAGTATCTGAGTTACACATACTATCAAGTAGGCAGTTATATACTATCTTATTCACAGGTTATTTCAAATATTGACAAAAGTCAGAACTATATTTATAACCTTAAGCTGTTTTGCGGTTTATTGGAAAATCTCGAGGCTGAAAATCCTGTTCTTCCAGGTAATTCTGGATTTATCGCTAACATTAGACGCAATCATAAATGATATTTTCGTATTAATTACTACCATATCTTCTTACCTGGACTCATCTTCAATCTGTTACTTGAATTGTCTTCTTAAACATCTGCCAAGGAAGTGTTTTGATTCAGTAAGGATGAGTTTCCAGAAAGTTGTGGAGTTAATCCTAAGGAACAAGAGCAGGGACGTTGTGAAAACCGGGCTAGGTTTAACTGATTAGTTTAATATTTACATCTGCACAGATTGTTTGTTCAGATTGTCTCTCTGCAATCGAAGCTTCGTTGATATTTGCAAATATAAAGAGCTCCCGGTGGTTTTACGTGCTCTTTTAAATTCTAACGATGATCAAATTAAAGAAATTACATTTATATTCATTGAACTCCTGGTAAATAAGTTTAATGATGATGCGATTAAGTTGATTTGTACGTCTGGTGTCATTGGTATGTATACGTTGGTTTGAATTATTTTAGAACTCCTGTTCGATAATATTTCTTTTAAAAACCCTTGTTTCAGGTACTAAGTGTTTCTTTAATATAACTTCAGAAACGTTTTAAAATGCTTACAAATAATAGGTACAGAAGTAGAACTTATGTCTTCAAGTTTTGTGCCACATGGTGAGTTACTCTAAGGTTATTCGAGACTGCTGATCACTTTGACTACCTATCAGGAATTAGCCAGATTGTAAAAGCCATGGATTTGAACCATGACTACGAAAATGAACTTTTGCCAAGGCTTGTGGAGATTACAAATAATTTCATAATGTAGTAAGTTGATAGATTGTCAACATTCATTCCGAAGCTATAATGGCCCACTAGACCTTTTTATATGCTCATCAATTTTAGGACAATTTCTGGTGGCCATTTCAGATATAATGGAAGACTGCACAGTACATTTAGGAATAGTAGGAATAACCTGTGTGGCTAATATCTTCAAGTAACCTCCTTAAGTAAAGTTATTTGCAGATATGAAAGAGATACAGAAATTATGCCAATTAAGGAACTCGAAAGATTTCTAAATTTTGTCGAACATTTTGCACGAAAACAAATTTATAATTTTGGACACCTTAAACAATCGAATAACGCATGTGTAATTTCAAAGTCAGACATGAAAATAGAAGAAAAGTCCTTATGTATTTTACTACCAACCTTGCTGAGTTTGTTACAGGAAATGCACACGTAAGTCTTGCTGTAATGACATTAGCATGTTTAGCTTCTTGTATCTGAATAAAAGGATCCCAATAAAAATTCCTGAAATCATTATGAAAATTGAATATTCTCTCACGTATATATTTTTTTCTGTAGTGATGAATCTAGTTTCTGTAGGTTTTATCTTATTAAATTCCTATCGTTTTAAAGCAATTACTGTCTAAAAATGTTACTGTGGAGAATTTGAAATCTGTGCTAAAGATAACAACAATGTATGCTTACGGTATATGCTCAGACATTTCAGCGAAGGAGATTACCAATATTTGTGGCGGGGTATTTGAGCAGTTTCAGACCTTTAAAAACTGTATTTCAAACACTCTGAAAGACAAAATTCGCGAAAGTTTCACATTGCTTCTTCCACTGTTTTACAAGATTTGCTTTTTGATTAGTAATGAGAACATCAAAACAGCTTTGTATTCACCTGACTTTTATACATTTGACGATAAAAAGCGGTAACTACATATTTTGTTACATGATTAAATGAAATTTGCTCTAGGGATGTCAGTGTCAGTTTTTGTTTCAATTCTTTCTCGAGAGAAATTTTGCTAACTGTGATGACAATCAACGCCAGTATATTTAACAATCTTAGTATTCCGTATCTATCAGAAGGCAAACATTTAGCTGACGTTCTAAATAAAGACGAGTTTAAAACTTGGATTTCTACTTTAATTCGTGGATTTAAATATTTTACGAGTAAGTTTTAAGTATATTTAATGGTATAAACTATAATGGTTTGACTATTTAAAACAATGATACAAACTTTCCTTAATCTTACTAGTACTGAAATTTCTAAAAACAAACATTGGTGTTCACAAAGCGCATGTTCTTTTATTTAAGGAAATTTGAGTCGTTGCTTCAAAGAGCAATATTATTTAACTAGATTATCAAAAGCTTAGAAAGTTATTTCAAACAACAATATTCACAGGATAAAAAGCATTTGGCCACTAATGTATTATGTAAATATTTGTATAGTTGATAGTTTACGTCTACATATTTGGATATACAGACGTTATTTTCAAGATAGTAATCAAACAATATGGTTTTAGTAAAATTTTCTCTGCAAGCAAACCCCACTTATGTAGCTTTGTCAATATTAAAAAGGTTCTTTTTCGTATATAGGGTGATGTCAAGAAAAGTGTAGGCCACTTTGTGATGATGGGAGTCCTTAATTAGTTTGCGTGTAGCAGTAGATACAGCTGATAAAACGACACCTTGTGTTATGGATTTCGTTTATATATATATATATATATATAAGCGATTTTGAAATAAACTTTAAACCCTTTTTAAATACTATTGTAGCTCAAAATCAAAGTTTTTTAATAGTTACGACTTTTCTTACTTTCCAGTTGAATGTATTTCAACAAAAACCTGACGTTATGTCCAAAAATATCTGTATAAAAAAAGTGTTAAAATACGCACTTAGTATTATTTCAAAAAACATTTAATGGCTAAACGTACTAAAATATTCGGGTATAACTCAATGTTTTCAATAAGAAAGCGGCCCCAATACACTGTTCAAATTGACTGCTTTTGTATTTTTGATTTCTTTCCTTATCAAGGTGTGAATTTGGAGTGCCTTGAAAAATACATGGAGTTAAGTATACGAGGACAAGAATTTATTGATATTTCTGCCTCAGCAATATCCATTATATGCGTCCTAATCAATCGTAATATCAAACATATTAAAACATTTCAGAAGTTCCCCTTGGTTGATGATAGAAATCATGAGGCATTTAGGTAAGTGATATTTGGACAAAAAGCCTGGTTAGTTATAGCTTCACTTTACGTACAGTGATATGAAGGAAAAAAGCTTACAGTTTTGTGAATACATTCGACGATTTGTTTCTTAGAATCAGCCAGACCTTGATATCTTAGTAAATCAGAGTTTGTGACAATGAGACACATTTATTTGAAATATACTATAAAAGTTTTATACCGGCACATTGAATTTTGTACGTTTAATAGCATATTGAACTACATTTGATCATTTTTCTGTCAGAATGTACCTACCTTATGTATGCACTGTTGTTATAGCTTACTGAATATTCTCATTTTGCTTTTTGAGTAGCATAACATCACACGTGTCTAAAGCCGTCAACACTAACTGATGGATTTATTCATCCACCATATACTATTCAGTATAATAATGTAACCTAGAGCAACTTTTATTTTCAACAATCTTTGAGGAACTAGATGAAGAGGTGTAATGTCTTTCCTTTCCAGAACTTAAAACAGTGCACATGCTGTTTGCTTTGAGTTACCAAACCTTATATCTATAGTAGGCAGCCCGATAGAATAAGAACGACTTGATGTCAATCACTAAATGGTTTTGCAAAACGTTATCAAGGTTTCTTGTCATAATTCTCTATACGTTGTTACTAGATTCTTCATAATAAAATTAAAAAGATACCATCAAACATAAGAGTAAGTTGTGTCAAATATTGATATCCAGAGTTCTTCCACTAATAAAGAAGAGGAAAAAAACCATATAAACAGTGAAAGTTTTGCTGCTAATTAGTGTTTCAAGAATATGTCCCCAAATGGACTTTGAATGCAATCTATCTGAAATTGATTTCATGTTTTTTGATAAATTACCACTCCTCTCTAAGTCAAATTATGGTCTGTGGTGTCTCGAAAAATGTATCAGAATCTTATTTTTTTAATCGTATTGCAAGTATAAACATTTTTAAATATGGCTTTTTTTAAATCGGATAAATAGTACTTAAAATTATAATTAAAAAACTTTGTGAAAGTTTTAAAGATATTGGCTTCAAAAATATTTCTAGGTAAATCTGTTTAATCATGGCAGAACATAATTTTATTTACAATTTTCTCGGTGCATGAATAACATGAAAGGAAAAAGCGAAGAACTAAGTAAATCTACTACTGGGAATAAATCATGGACATATCTGTGACCATTTTCAACCAAACAATATAACCACTCGTGGCTAAGATGACAAGATACATTATTTAGTACTCCATCCTCTTGCATGCATCATTAACCTAATTTATTCATAATTGATTTTATTTAATACTGCCCTTACAGAACGATATCGTTAATAGATAATCCGTCCATCGTAATCATTCAAACTCTATTCAGTGGTCTGCCTATGATACGTACGAGCATACATCTCAATTTTCTTCAATCATCAGACTATTCTGTTGGGTAACATTAAACTATAATCTTAGACGTAGTTGAGCTAAGCAATTCACTTATTTGACCATTGAATGTAACAGCTTATATAAAGTTTAAGGGACGTAAAAGGCATATAAGCTGCACGATTGACTATTTATGTCTCAATATCTTAAACAACATTTTATGTCATTTAGGCCGTGAACGCGCCTCAGATCATCTGTAGTTTTTACCAGTGTGAAGGTTTCCAAGATAGACTTATCTATTTCGGCAAGTGGAGCTATATATATATATATATATATATATATATATATATATGAAAAAGTACGGTATGTATGTATTAATTATCCACTTCTTGAATTTCATTCAAATGGTCTTTAATAAAGGATTGAATAACCATTATTTCTTATCTCTTAAAAACTAGGAATTATGTTATTTTCCCAAACAAAACTTTAAAGCGAATAATTCAGTTTCCCACTAAGGCAGGAGTCAACTACTTTCTTCTGATTTCGGTTTTGATCACCGTAGAATTTCTCATCACATATACGGTAAAGCTATAATTTAGTTTCTTAATCGATAATTTTTCTAGTGTTTGCCGAAATTCTGGAATTTTTTCAATAATTCCGTTATCACCGATGAGTATAATAAAGGTATGTTGTTGTAAATGTAATTACGTAGATCTTCTTCGTCTGAGCTCAAACGTGATACATCCTGTGTAAAACTTACAGACCAAGCGAGCCTTCAATACTAATGTCAAACATTTAAAAACAATCAATTTAATATGTTTGCTAGTTTTGTGCTACATCCGATACTTCATTAAAATTACTACCTATACCAGTTATTTTTTCGAGTTACTAAAATAATCATCAAACGGAGAAGGTATTTATTTTGATTCTCGAGAAAATCTACCATAGTTATTTGCTTGATTATATGATATTCATTGTTTCATCCCAAAATATTTTATAAAAATCTGAAATTCGGAGAAAAAAACTCACTTTATCCTTCACTTCGCATATTGGGTATCTAAACAATAAATAAAGAGATTAAGCTTTCAAAAATGCTTTGTGACTATACAATTATTAACAAGTACTTATCTTATTGCTACTGACGCTTGTAAAATTTCTGATTAGTTTGACGGAGAACTGAGATGACTTACATTTTCATGTCAATCGAGTACGGAATTGAAAAGATTCTCTCAAGTCGTTTACATAATGAACATTCAAATTCATAAAGTTTTTCGTAGAAGTGAAGCTAACAATGTCTACCAACTAATTTAAAGTGTCATAGCTTTAATTAAAAGTATATTGGAGTGACAATGTAGATTGCTTTTATATTTTCTGAGAACGTTAGCTATTGACTAGATAAATTCAAAATTTACTCAAAGACTATTCGAGTTGAACTTAACTCCCTATTTTTGTACAAATTAAGAAGGCTTTTAAGAATAAGTCTTTCAAGATGAGAACGCATTCGATAAAAATTCGGTTTTTAGTAATTACCATTTGTGGATAAATAAGCTTGTAATTGTGGAGAGTAAGAATAGTCACATTATTCTGTAAGATATGTACAAGTAGTGCTTCATAGTTAATTAAATTTCGAGAATTCCAGTGATGCTACTTTAATCCCAGAATGCATCTTAGATAAATAAAATGAATTACGTAGTTAGTTATTTAAAAACAAAAGTAGTAAATATGTGCTTTTCAAATTATTACTTCCTTATTTAGATTATTGAACACTATATTGATAATAGAAATTGCGACATTTGTCAAGCAAAACACTTACCAACTCTAATTTCGATCTGGATTTCTATCATCTACTATTTTTCACGATCATGTAGTAATAAGGAAGCATTACCTCCTTATAAATTAACCGTGTTTTTCTGTGTAATATATACTCATTTTTACAGAAAACATTTCCATGTATAAATCGCAGATTTTTTATAATTACTAAACGCTGATCTACATCACCTTAAACCCACTGACCGTGAACGCGCGAAACGTGGAAATTCATGAAGTTGAAGTCACTGTTTTTATTTTTTAGGTTTAGATATTTTATCTTTAGCACTGTTTGATCGTCTACAGCCCGTACATACCCTAGTTCTATTGCGCACTCCACGATTTTCTACTTACTTAGAAAACTGCAGTCCCTGTTGGATCAAAATGGCCCAAAAAATTGTAGGTTAAAGGTCATTTTCGTTATAGTATGAAATTTTTTTATTCTTTTGGCTAGAACCAATGAAGCTATTATACTTCTTATAGCGTCTTCCTAAAAATCACAGAGTTAAATGATTGATAACTAATGCATATGGCATTTCACAAAAGATTTTAAGACCATTAGATATCTTAGTTGCATTTGACCTTAAGGGAACTTTCCAAAGAGGAATCAATACTTCAAGTGTATACCCAAAGCTGATTATGATTGCATAAAAGTTAACAATACTATTAGTTACGGACCGTAACTACATCTTAAATAATGTTTCTAATTACTCTTAAACAAGAGTACTACAGGTAGTAAAATTTCTCACACATCCAGACTTACTCATATGTAGTATATCCATTATAATATTTTGTGTTCGCTTTGCTTACTGCATTTTTGTTACTGACGAGATATAAATACATCTCTATCATCCCAATGCCATTCACAGAGTCTTTTTACATAAAACTGGAATCTACTTAAGATAATGTGAAGTCGATTTCTAACTTGATTTACTGATAAGCTATTATACCAACATAAAGATTAGATCTAGGAAATGTAGTAATTTAGGTGTTTTGTTCGTGATCAATGTCTATCGTTCTGTTTGAACTATCAGCATTTTTCAGGTTAAAGAATATACACTTAGTTACAAAATTTACTTTTTCCCATCAGAATACTTATCTATTCCATATTTACTTATTCGGAAAAAACGTTCACGACCATGGTGATCAAAGAATAATCAACCAGAAGAAATTACCAAAAACAGAATGTACTTCAACTTCTTGTCTAACTCTTTGTTTTATGTTCGTAAAAGAGCACCGTTAGAAGTGGTTTGTAAAATCATATAAAAAGACCTAGTAAAACCATAAACTGTCGTGACTTTAAAGTCCGGATAGTTATCACGTCATTTATTCGCCAATCGAAATACGACTTATTCATTCTTGTACTGTACTAACTGCTATGATGGAAAGAAAAGTCGAAATCCGATTGATTTACTAATTATGAGTTTTGTTCAATATTACTTCCATTTTGATTAAATGTAATGATTACTCAATGTATTATTTGTTTTTTCTCGTATGATATTTTATTCTGCATAACATACGATATTATTGTATTCCATTGACATGAACTATGCTTAGTGTGTAATTTGTTATAACTCTAAGTATTTTTCATATATGTGATTTCATTCTAATTATTAATCAAGATGGGTGTACAATTAATATATAAATGAGTGTATTTTCGACTAGAGTCGTCGTCGTCATCGTGTTTTGAGGTTAGTAAATCTTCACTTATACCAGTCGTTGTGTTCTTACTTTCGCGTCGTGGGAATTGCGGAGGCCCCTCGTTTCTAGTTTAAGTGATAAGCGTTTCCGACATAACAATAAGGGACGACCAAAACAAGACAATCAGCATTCAAACGACAACTTGTAACACTAACCAATGACGTTCGACCGGTCTGATCAGCTTCGAGTCCTTATTGGTCTTTTGTTCGCCTTGCCCATCCAACTGAGTCCAGAACACCAATAATAGCTTCCGCTATGCGAATCCTTCATTTCAGACGTACTAGGTTTATATAACAGCCAAACAGGTCTCATTACGCTATAAAATAGGAAATAACATTTATACAAAATAAAGCCTAAAGTGGCTGTTAAACGTGGGAGACTGTAATCAATAAACTGAATATAATCTAAGGACAGCAAATCGTACAATAATAATTCATATGTCAAAATGAAGCTTATAATAAGGAGAATATAGATACATATAATCTAGTTACTGAATAGTTATACAATAGGAATATATATATATATTATTAGTCCATTAATAGGTTTCAGAAGTTACTCGTAATCTAATCTTCTCTAGGATATAACAGAAACGTTTAAAATTCAGTATCGAGAAGATTATAGAACCTGGACGACTACATTGATATTACACCAAAATGTAAACGACCAAGTGTCATTTCATCACTAAAATTCCTTGATTTTCGTTCTCAAATGAAGAATGTCATGCCTAAAAAACACAGGACAATCTCTGATAATAATGATAGAATTAACAACCTAAACGAAATTCCTCAAAATAAAACAAGATAATCAGTTATATGTAACAAGTAATACTTCCAAACATTTATTTTATTTCTGCGTAGATATTACAGTGCCACAGTGATGAACTATTGATTGAGGAACAAGTATTTTCACTACTTCCCACAACTTACATCTTATTATCCAATACTTGGGTGAGTATACTTTCTTAATTGAATGCGTTCTAACCCACAACATTTACTTCAGTTTCTTGGCTTTCTTGGTATGTTTGAATTGCAATAAAAAATATTTGAAACCTCTTCAAGATTACGTTTAGAACAATGGTGATCCAACTAGTCTATTAGTTGGACTCATGAAAAATCCGAACAATATTTTAAATTTTTGTATAACGTTTTGATTGTTTGGAATTGAAGTGAATATATGCTGTTTTGCAAGCATATAATACACTGATGTCCCTAAGATATTCATTTGGTTTTTTAAAATGGGACCCTGAGGTCCCAATTTCAATTCCTGGTGAGAAAGTGAGCATACGTTGTAGTAAATCCCAAATACATAAGTGGAAGTTATCTAGATCTCTCTGATTCATAATGATTCTTCAGCTAATTTCAGTCCATGAACAAATTTATATCCAAAATTAAGGATTTACATTTTTACTACTTGAACGTGTTATATTTACCTTATCGATATGATGAAAGTAGATCATAAGTACAGACAGTAAACAAAAAACTGAGGTTCAGTTGTTTCAATGCTCGATTTTTGAATTATATCAATTTAATGTTTATATATAGACAGTATGGTACAACAATTTGATGAAATTCGACAATGCGGATGTCCTTCAGCGTTTAGTTCTAACTTTCGAAATACAAACACTCAGCTTAAAGGTTAGTTTTCATAGTCAGTAATGAAATATACATTTAAAATTATTTTATATCTATCTTTTACTGAATGTTTTGATTCATTTAGAAACTAGTGTAAAAGTAACTGAAGGATGTTGTTGTTATGACGGCTTTTGAGTGAAAAGCCGAAATAGTTATATGTATTCCAGAAAGTTTTTCATTTTTGCTTTTTAAGACGAACTCGTAAAAAAAGTGATTGATGAACAGTATTTTGTTATCTAATATGAAGTCCTTGCTTAACTGGTATAACTATGACTTTCATTTCCAATTTTATCCACAAGCTCTTCTTTAGTGAATTCAAAAATTACTATTCACTTAAGTTGGTTCGAAGTTGATGTTTTCTCCTAATGAAACTTATTAGTTTGTTACATACAAGAACGATATGATCATGATCAATTTGTATTATCTCGAATTATCTTGGCTTTTCTATCGTTCAAATAGATATGGTTGATTAAACCCGGAAATTGTCTTCCGTACTTTCAAAGCTTGGAGAAATTTAGAAATTCCGTTGACTACATCTAATGACTGTTCTTGCTTTGATAATGTCGAAAATTTTAACTGAATGATGTATGGTTGCACCAGAGTTCGAAATTTTCTCTAAGAGGACCGACGTTTCAATTACTTTCGAGAATCACTGAAAAATTTGCGAACAATCTGCTCCATTATGATTCACGTTCATCGAATACTATGTTACTTCAGTAAACGTTGGTTTACAAATCTTTATACGTAACAGTTTAGACAGAGGACTTTCTCGTGCATCAAACCTTTAAATTTTTATTAGACAATAACGTTCAATAACATGAGTATTAAAGCTATGTGTATAATTTTATCCTCTGCTGATATGCAAGTAGGCTGGCTAAGGAGATATTTTTGCAGTCACTGAAATAATTATTGTATTTTTTTGCCTAAGGAAAAGGATGGATCGGTAGAAACTAGTCATTCTTCTGTTCAGAGAAAACAGTTGGCACTTTATATTTGTGATTGTCTCTCAGTACTGCCAAATAATCTTCCGGGATCGTTTTTAGACGTCTTCACTTCTAACTGTAAGTCATTTTCTCAGGCTTTCATTTTACTCAAATTTTTGGGTTCATAAATGCTTTACTTGATTCAGTCCTGAACCTTGAATATTTTTAAAGGATGTTTAATTGTTTTTTAACACTACGGCAATTTTTGAACCGAACTCTACCTGCTTTGGTTTTGATACTTAAATAGTATTATATATAAAATGTGGCTCAAAGTTAAGCTTCATAACTTGTTCTTGGTTCACGAACTACATAAAATTTTTGAGTTAAACGTTTTCAGAAACATTTATTAAAGAAGTACATATTAGTAATCCGATTATTTTTTTCTGATAAAATCCGCTAGATTAGAGAGCTTAATCATACTTATGATAATCCGTTTGTTATGTAGGATCATTTACTTGATGTTTATACATTAACCTTCCTTCTGACTACTGGCACATACCCGTGTTTTCTGTTTGATTATGACTTGTAAGTGTTGGGAAATCGATTGCAGTATTGATTAGCTGTTATAATTTCATTTGCCAAGCAAACCGATCTGGTCAATAATATATATAATTTAATATCAACGTAAGCTGTTCTTGATATTATCTATTTGGAAGTAACAGGAGCAACTTATAAAAGATGTTGATATGTATTTTGAAAAGCAGTTTATTATCTTTATGATCTGTAATCACAAAGCGCTTTGGCGAAGCCATAAGTTCTTGAAATTTATTAGAAAAATCCACCTTAGATTTTCTTTTCATGCAATCAACTTCTACTTTAAAGGATCTGTAAATGAAACGCCTTACCATTCAGCTTCCTTATTTTTGTACTAATAACAAGTTCAAACGTAACTCTAAGTTTTAGGCTACTACAATCCAGTTAGTGATTTTGATGCTTGAGCTGTATAGTGAGTTCCTCCACAAATTATGTAGCTGAGTTAAATTTCGTGCTTGTGAGGTAGAATAGTAAACTGGGTGACTAAATCCGGAATGAAGCCAACTTTGTTTGATAACCTGCATAAGCTTGAATAATACTGTATGTGGAAATTCTATTTAATTAGGCTTAAAAAATGTAATTTTCAAAACAGTATTTAGTTAGAAGCATTCAGTTTTGCAATTTTTCGATCATTCTACATCATATGGTACAACGTCATCCTATTTGATTGTCACAAAAAAATTAATAGTTTATTCTTGTGAAAATTTACGTAATCATTTACACTGGCTTTCAAACAGGATGAGTTTAGCATCCGACTATTACTAAAACTAAAAAAATGTGCACGGAACAAATATGGTCATTTTACCAATAAATAATAATTTACTGTAGACACCGAATACCGTTTGTTGTGTAATGAAAATTTCAGGGTATATTCAATGGATGCACTCCCACGATATTATTGGTTTTTCTTGAATTCCCTATTTTCTCCTAAATATTTAAGGTAAATATACCAGCGAGCATTTACGACTAGAATTATATAACTTATTTTATGAATATCAAGTATTCAGTAGTCTCGTTTATTATAAGTAGCCACTATGCAAAATGTATTTCTAATCTAGAAATGAATTGTCTTCATAATACATATGCATAATCTTATAGTTATTGAAAAAAATTTACTTCAGAATTGAAATTCAATAAATTGTTTTCATTCCCAGATGAGCTGAAATATGCGTATGTGAAAATGTTAAAAACAACCTGCTTGTTTCTGCACGAAGTCTTCCTTCATTCTCAGTTTGTTGTCATGGTAGCACAACAAAGTATGTTTTTATTTTTGTTTATCTTCTTAAATGATTCAAGTTATTAGACTTTTAGCGAATGAACGATTCGATCCTAATTCTTCACTTCGAAATGATCTTCTCGAAATCATATTACACCTTTTGATGAATTCTGACAGCAATTCACAAGTGCAAAGTTAGTTGACTATAAATTCTTTCTTTTCGCTAAATATGGGATTTTTGTTGAATTTACTCTAGGTTTAGGTAAACCGTATGAAATATGCGGAGCAGTATTGAATGAGACTGCAACCACGAGCTACTGAACGCTCATACTAAAAATATAACAGCTTAATGAAAACAATAGTTGAAGGTTGAATTTTACTTCTTGTGCATAATATCATAAGTAGTTTTAGTAGGGTTTTCTTGTTCGAGATGGTTGATTCAGTCAGGGACCGAAACACTCCCAAAATCATCCACCGAGCTACCAATCATCACCATCTCGAAATCAAACCGAGTACTAACCCCTTAATCCTAAACTCTTAAATCATAATTTCTTACACCAACCTCAAAACCCTGATTTTTAACCATCTAACCTCAAATTTAATTGTATTTTAAGCTATAACTCATACCACCAGTGTCTTTAGCAGGCTAATAAATAATACTTATACGTCTACGTCTAATGCATCAAAAATTAATATTTGTCTTCTGGAGATAAAAGTCTATTGAATTATAAGCTACTAAACTAATAAGAACGTTTACATTCCTTCAACAGCTAAATGGACCCCACACATGGTTGTATATTTTATTCATCGCTTGTCGATGAAGAACTTCATTACAGCATCGATTATAATTGGGATAAACAAAATATTTATTACGGTTTACAGAGCTAGTACTAGGAACGATCCTTTTGGATAAAATTGACAGTATTAGTTTGACTTTAAGGAAACAAAGTGAACTAAAATTCAAACCTTCATCTTATAGCGTTGGTATTTGATAATTTTTTAGGTTCGCATAAAGATTTCATCGTAAAGTGATATCGTCAATAATAACCCTGTAAATAGTTCTCCTGAGCTTTCAGCAGAAAGCAGTAACCGATAATGTAAGGGATCTACTGACATGTGAATGGCATAAAATGTTGGTTCCACTGTATTCTTGGATTAACTCATGTTCGTATGTGTGGACCAATAGATTCCAATTTACTGGCCTAATGGTCTTGGGTTTCAGTGACAACTGAATCCAATAGTAGTCGGCTGGTGAAGTGGTCTGAAACAGGACAAAAAGCTGTCTACTGACCCTTGATTCCTACAGTTATTGAGACCTTATCAAGCCCTGGTAAAAACTGTCTTCTCTAGAAAGTAATGGAATATTCTGTTAAAATGGTAACTCTTATAATACGGCTGATTTGGAAATTCGCTAACTACAGAAGTAAAATTTTATAGAACCTGCACGATTTATCCTATCTAGATCATCTCTGATATTTGTCAAATTAAGAATTTGGTTTATCCATCTAGTTGTAAAACTGCTATGTTCAGAAATTCAAACCTGGAAAAGTTGTATTTTCCGCTTTTCGAAGGAGACTTCCAAATGTTCTGCAGCTAATCGTTTGAAAATACATACTGAAGAGTTTCAAATCACAGCTGAGGAATTGGACTCCATTCTAGGGATTGGCGCCTCAATAAATATTTGTACAAAACATTTACCAGTCAATCATGAGATTGTTGACTCTGTTAGTAACGTGAGTGAATTTATATTTGAATCACTTAATTTATTAACAAATTCGTTCATTTCCTTACTGTATTTCACCCCTATACTCACTTTGGTTAACTTAAGTCACAATAAAAAACGCCATTGACTTCTATAAATGTTATACCTCAAAAAATGAAAATTCTTAAATCTCATCAGGGAAACAATGTGTTATATTGACTCAGCTCTGCAAACATCATTTAGTCAGCACTGCAAATTTAGGTGAATCTTGAAAGCTCCATCTGAATTAGTGGATCGTCTGACAATCCAAGTGACTCAGAAAGCATTAAGAAGAAAGTTGAAAAAAACTGAACCCTGAAAAATTCTACAAATCTTGATAGATGGTGAAAGCTAAAGCTATGAGAAACGGATAGATAATGGACTCAGGGAAAAAACATACTCAAAAACAACGATGTTTAATGTGATCATGAATCAGAAAGATTTACCAAGATAAATTTAGAACTAGCAGAATCAACAAAACATGTACCAAAATGAGTGTTTACTCACTCTCCGTTTAGATGAAAACGTTTCTAATTTCATTTTCTACCCATGGTTTCTAGCAAGCTCTTACTTTTGATTTACATCTACATGGTTTAAAGAAGTCTAAGTTCAACAGTCAAGCAAACAAATTCATAAAATAAATCGATCAGAGTTCCGAAGTGAAAAGAGTCATGCTTTGCAATTTTTCTTTACGTATCAAGTTTCTAACATTATTTAAGCTTTCGGGAATCATGTGATGTAACCATTTTCTTTAGGCTTTTATAAAGCAGTGGTTACAGTAGTAATAATATAAAGAGACGATTAATTTTCATACGTTGATACAAACAATTAGTTTAGTCATTGTACGGTGACATTCACTTTGTCCTTTGTCTTTTATGTCCTTTTGTTTGGAAACCAACTGCTCATCGTGAATCACAGAGAAAGTGCTTTTATTCTAGATTTATATGAAAAAATTATTTTTAAAAATCAAGAAGATGAAGTTTGTCAGCACTATCAGATAGTATTTTGGGCTTCTTTCAGTACTTTCTACCATAAAGTGAACTGATAAATCCATCATAGTTCAACAGGTAAAAGTCTTTATCTTGAATTCATACTGGTTTATAACGGCTTAAAAATAATTTTGTTGAGGTTGAATACATATATACTTCAGATCTGTCACCACTTTTTATGTTTATGTGAGACAATATGAAGTCGATTTATGAAATCACTTTCTAAAGTAGTCAAACAAAGAATTAAACACTTTTTAGGCCAGTTTTGGTTTTAATTTCATTTTCATACGAATACTAAAATTTTGATCACTTTTCTTTACAGTTACTGTTTATGAATCCAGAAACAATTTTAGAAATTTTGAGTCACAATCCAGTAACAAATGGATCTCCTTTCATTCAGACCAGTGCACTGGTTTGTTTATTGGAATCATTTTACGGACCACTGTCTCATCTTTTATGGCCGGATATATCTGAAAACTCGAACGAGAACTATTACTGTGAAGTGAGCATCATTAGTTTCCACAAACCGTTGTTAATTACATGATTCCCCTACTGAATGAGCCAACCAATTTAAGATTATTTCGTGTGATAATGATTGAAATACAGTTCGATTATCTTTCTACCTACCATGATCATTCAGGATCTTACTTAGATTAGTAGGAAATTCGACGGTCTAGTGGCTTAGTAGTAACTTATTTAACAAAAAGACTAACTGGCATCTTTTAGGAATAATTTTTTTCTGGTGAGTGCTAAGAGTTCATAAGGTTTCGTGTTGACAATATTTAACGTTCTGTAGTGTCAAGCTGAGTGCTTTACTTCATTCTGTTATCTTGTTTTAAACTAAAGTGATTAAACATGGTTTCAAGCGTATTAAGAAATGATCTCAGTCGATTATGGGTATATCACCTTTTTGTTTATCAATAACAATTAGTATTTTTATCGCAATATTTGCGTTCTTGAATAGTACTGTGTTTTTATGGCATCCAATTTGACTAATTCCTGTTATATTTCTCGCAGCTTTTCATGTGCTTGAATACTAAAATCATGGACATAACCCACAGATTTATTCAAGAATTGTCAATCGAAGTGTATGGTTGTCTGATTAAATATATCTGTTTAACTACCAAAAAACAATCATTTATCAGTAAGTTATCTATATTTTCTTACAATGCACAGATATGTTCTTGTTGACTAGTCCATGGAGTAATATTATTCTTGAACACTTACAAATAGATGGTTCAGTAAATAATATTGAAAACTTCTCATCATCTTTCCTTGCTTTTGCCAACGTGGTAGGTATTTCTATGTTTTACACCACATAACCTTAGCTACTATCCACGAAATGTCCTGCAATTTGTTCAGTTATCAATAAAAATCGGTTGAGGGAATTATTACTAGCTTATATACATGATAAGGATTTGTATGACTCAATTACCAAGACCTATTTAGGAAGTATATTTCTAAAGGTAAGTAAAGAAAATTTAATTATTCGAATTTTATGAATATTTAAGTTTGCCTCCCCAGACTTTGAAGTTCTAGATTTCAGGGAGCGGTTATGCTTAGAAGTTATGATTGCATCAGACAATTTGCAACCTACTCTCAGTATTTCAAATCGCTTTAATTTGTTTTATAAAGAAATATTTTGTTTATAAACATTGAAACTTATGAGTTTGTTTGTTATATAGCCTTAAAACTTATGTCATTATAAATAAAACGTATTTCTCGGCAATCCAAATCACAATTTTTTTATGTCATGAAAAATGGGAATTTCATAGTTTTTATTCAGATACCATATGGCGAAGTATTTCGAAAACGTCTCTATAACTTCATATGATTGAATTTTGTTATGCATCTTTTAATCTACAATAAATAGGTTGAGAGTTTTCGAGCATGACATCAATTAACTTTTAATCCATTATTCTGACCTTTCAATTTAGTAGACCAAAAACCTACCGGTTTAGGGTTGTTCTCAGAAATCACGCTGTTTATTACAGCTTAAAGTTATATGATTTATTCTTGCTTACAGTTATTTTATACTGACAATCGCTATCTGTGCAAAACTATAGTTAAAACAAATACAACAATCAGAAAGGAATGTAGTTATTTGCTACGTTCGGATGACACTATGAAAATGATGCACATGCCTCGATTTCACAGTGTACCACTTACATATACTAGATTTCTTAAGGTTCCTTACAACTTCTTGAGGCACGCTAGTTTACTGTATTGAAAAGCGTGTTTGACGTTATACGTAGATTCTTACACAAGTAATCTTACAGTGTGTAAGAAACAGTTTTTGGAAAGCGCTGACGAGCTTAAAACAACACCTGAGTCCGGAATCTGTTTCACCTGACAACCAGAGGTTGGGCGTCTGTGAAGCAATTTTGGAAGTTGATGGAAAGCCAATTAGTAATATCCAAGGTTTTGAACGGTTACTAGAGTTTTTCAAAAAACAGCCCAGCTGGCCTATTATTCACAGAATCGCCAATTAAAATGTCTTGTCATCCCTGACCGGTGATAACTGATCAAATTAACGAATCAAAGGTTCTCAAAGTACTCCAACTTCTAAAGCGCCACAATTCACCAGACCCATATAGCCTAAAATCCCTCTCTTCGTTAGGTGAGGGCAAACTTTTGATCAGGAAACTAATTGAGCTATTTAGAAAGGTTTATGATATAGTGTTCCGAAAATCCTGGGATGAAGTGATAGTGTTCCTCAACAATAAAGTGGACATTTACCATCTATGTAAAAATCAGAGACGGAGTCCACCTTCGATTGTATTAAATTACTGGCTACTATCATACTTTATAGATTATTCAAAACCCGTGAAAGACTGATTTATGTAGATTGGGCTAGCTTTCGACCTAGTGTTTGATGTACTGATCACATCGTTACACTATGCAAAATGTTATAGCATCATCATACTCATTACAGGCCAACAGTCGTTATGTTTTTGATATTAGGGTCCACGTCAATTTGTTGCAAAAAAAGCTGTACTCTACGACTGCATAGATCTGTCACCTAGAGGAAAACTTCGGCAACCAGACGATATCGTCTTACCATGATATCAGACAAAAGCTATCCGATTCGCACTTCTTCCGTTGCAAATCCGTGTCCATAACTATCAGATTTACTTTGCACGTTCCAAATACAACAAATTTCTACAAGACTCAGAAATCTGCACGGAGCGATTCTGCTCCGTGATTGTAAAACCTGGCCTTTCCTAGCTGAAGATGTCCGGTGACTGTGTGTCCGATTTTTGCTATCGAGGGAGTGGTGACATTCAGTGGCAACACCGTGTTAGCAATGCTGAGGTTCGACAATGTGTATTCGGGATCAGTGATGATAATTTAGTGTCACTGACTTCGGTGGTTTGGACATGTGTTACGAAGATCATGTGAGCGATTTTCACGTTGTGCTTTATTTCCGGACTCTGGGGCTAGGTACAAAATTGGAAGAGGTGGTCATTTCATGACACAGTGTCATATATGAAAGAAAACCGTACGAGACTGGGGCACTTTGGTTCCTCACTTCTCCCTGGTTCAGATTCTAAGGATTATACAACTTAGTTACTTGAGAAATTACAAAATGTGAGTGGAAACAGAAGCCAATGGAGATCCTACAGTAGCTTTCTTTTACATTTTTCATATAAAAAATTAGGAGGACGTGGCTTAACTGAGAGATCTGTTGCTGGTTGTATTTTTAACTGAACTATGTCTTCTATCATATACTATTCTCGGCCACTCATTATTATTATTATTATCCCTAATCATTTGTTTATTTTTGATTGTACTTGCTCTTCCTCACCTACCTCTTGGCAATTCCATTTCACTATTATTTAGTGCATATTTATTTTGTTGCCCAGCTGTACCAATATTTGTGTACGTAACAAAATAAATACTTTGAAAACTGACGATTTTAAAAACTACGAAGGAACAAAAACCCCAAATTTATTACGAACATATCAAAATCATAACTTTATAAAAAAGATTAAAAAACAAATTATGTAAATGAAAACAACGTTATATAGAACAATTAGTGACAGCTGCATATTTAAATATAAAAATGTGGAGGCAAGTTTGTCTGCATTATTCTATACGTCTATCATGATCATCATTATCATAGCATAGAAAATCAAATGCACCATGTATCTTGTATTAATTTTATAAATGTATCACAGGAATCATTTATGTTTTCACCTAGAAAATAATTTTGAGCGCACTCACTTGATGGAAGCAATGAACATAAATCCATATATGCTGCATCTGATCTTAACTGATCAACAGGACATTCTCCTAAAGTAGTCGAAACAGCTTGATAATATACTTCGAATTCTGTATACTCTAGGCGTTTTTGAACATGAACGAATTTTTCGAAAATTTTCAAAACATCCGGTAATGAATGAGCTATATTAGTACCTGAGAACATTAATGGAAATTTAATAACAATGGAACATTATTGTTATGTATAATTAATGCTTTTTAATAACTAAATGTACATAGTAAATGTCCTAATGTGAAATTTAGGAAACTCCAGAAACGGTAAAGAAGATAATGAATAATACGAGCATTTTGCATTTTCTATATTTGGTGAAGCAAACAAAATGTAAACTGTGAAGGCATGACCTACACAAAGTTAGGGCAACTGAGCACTTCAGAAGTTGTGCTCATAAGATTTTACATCCGACTCAAAATGGTAAGAAAAATTGTACATCTCTGCATACATAATGGTAGATTTATCCTTGATACTCTTCATATTGCTTTCGTATTACTCAGAATGTTAGTAATGAGACTTTTCGTCATTAGTATGGATTTCTGTGTAGACAGATATTTTTACTTGAGTGTTTTGTTCGAATTCCTAAAACGTTTTTAGACCAATATGAATGGTTAGTTTAGATTGTTAAAAGTTCATTAGTATTTGCTCAGTCGCACCCTTAGTACCGTTTATTTGTTTATCTCATTAATTAAAAGAGATTTATTTACTGTATAAGGAAGAATGATAAACGCCACACCATTTTTAAAAAACAAAAATAATTTAGAATTTACCCAGTTGATTTACAGCCCATTTAGGAGTATTGAAAAATCGTCTAATATCCAGTAATTGAATATGACCAAGTCGATTTGGATCCATTTTTAAAAATACCTACATGATTGAACCAAGAAATAATGCAGTGTTTACGAGTAAATTGTTATTATAGAACGAAGAATTCGAAAACAAATGATTAGTGTATAGTCAGCCTAGAAGGACACATGGAATAAAAAATGAAGTATTTCCACGTCAAAATATTGTTTAAATTGTTGAAAATAGATGAGACTCCAGTTGATTTACGTAATAAAACAAAAAATGGATTGTATCTGTAGATGTATTCCAGAGCACAATCCATTGAATCAAACAAGATATTTGACTGTTCATATATATAAACGAAGCTTAAAATAACTGAGGAGGATCTTAATCCATTTACGATAAATAAATCGTGTTTCAAGGTATACATAATTCAAAACGCTAAGAAATGTACAAAACTATGATTGTTACTAACTTCTGTGAGAATATAACTATCAAAGTTCCTTCATCGTTTTGTCAATTATGAACCAAACATAAGGATAAATAGATATTAAAATACATTTTACTTTCATCTAAAAATATTATGTACCTTTACGAAAATCATATGGGATCGAACCCATAACCTTCAGACTTCGTGCCAAACACGGCACTCTTAGGAAGTGACTAATAATAGAATGGTCAATATTTTCAAACACATTTATACGTGTATATTACAAGTGTACTAAACAGATAAAAGCACAGTGAACACAGTGATGTAGCGAATAGTAACTGAAATCTGTCTATCCATATAACTATTGTATACAAAACAATGCTGAGAGTTATTCTAAAGTGTGATAACTAACTGTAGTTTTGAAGTGGTATTACAAATTACTAACAATACCAATTGAACTAAGACAGACAAAACATAACTAAGATGTCGCGTTTGAAGTGAACAGAATGGAGTCGCACTGTATTATCATAACCTATTAAAACACGAAATAAAACGTTTGCGTAATAACCGTATTAATCATCCATCACACTAACCTATCTGTGAATAGTTAATTGTAAAATAAAACAATCCGGTTTTTAAACATTAGTATTGAGTGATTACAGTAGTCCAGAATTTGAGTAGACTGGTTTTGCACAAGGTGATTCAACATCATTCTTCCACCTATCTTACAAAAGTAATATGATTTATATCCATGTGAACGAAAACTGAATGTCTTGTATATCCAATCCTGAGAATCCCAAAAACAGTTGGAAAGTAAACGCCCAGGATTTCCTGGACTTCAAAGGTTCTATTGTTGATATGAATTTGTGTTGTACATGTGCAACTGATTCGTTTTTGTTCCCACGTTTTACTTATCCAATATTAATATATCGTAGTTTAAATTTGAACTCCGCCTGGAGTCCCTTTCCGGGGGCTACTGCCGGTCCCAAGCCCGGATAAAGGAGGAGGGTTGGGCATGGCGTTAGCGACCCCATCCCGTAGAAAACTAACTCGCTAAAAAACGCTAACCAGAAAAAATTATTCAAACCATTTAAACTCTGCCCTGGGAGTCAGAAGGTCTTCGCTTAGAAGAATTATGACGCCTCATGATGAAAGCCGAGTTTCTTCGGAAGTCACGAGGCCGATGCTCCTTCTGACAACCAGAGCAACCATTTATTTAGGTACATGGAATGCTCGCACAATGTGGGAGACTGGGAGAGTTTTCCAAATTGCTGCAGAAATGAGGAGATACAATTTAGAGGTGCTTGGGATCAGTGAAACACATTGGACGCAAGTTGGACAACAACGACTAGCTTCAGAGGAGCTGCTGTTATACTCCGGACATGAAGAAGAAAATGCCCCACATACACAAGGAGTTGCATTGATGCTGTCCAAACAAGCACAAAATGCACTTATAGGATGAGAATCTCATGGACCAAGGATCATCAAAGCCTCCTTCAAAACAAAGAAAAAGGGCATTACAATGAACTTCATCCAATGCTACGCGCCTACCAACGACTACAATGAAGACGCTAAAGATCAATTCTACGATAGGCTGCAGTCAATCGTCGAGAAGTGCCCAACAAAAGACCTGACTATTCTGATGGGAGACCTAAATGCCTATATTGAATAGGACAACACCGGATATGAAGAGATCATGGGACGACACGGACTGGGAGAAAGGAACGAAAATGGTGAGAGATTTGCAAATCTATGTGCCTTCAATAAACTGGTCATAGGCGGCACTATATTCCCACATAAACGCATACACAAAACCACATGGACTTCACCGGATCACACCACACAGAACCAAATCGACCATATCTGCATCAACAAAAAGTTCAGGAGGACGATGGAGGACGTGAGAACAAAGAGAGGAGCTGATATAGCATCAGATCATCACTTGCTGGTCGCCAAGATGAAATTGAAACTCAAGAGGCACTCGACAACGGGGAGGACAATATCACAAAAATTTAATACGGCTCTTCTTCGGGATAATGACAAACTCAATAAATTCAAGATAACCCTCAGCAATAAGTTCCAAGCCTTTCATTATCTACTCAATGGAGAAGAAACTACTATGGAGAGCAACTGGAAAGAGATAAAAGAGGCAATCACTTCAACATGTCATGAGGTTCTGGGCCAAAAGAAGCACCATCACAAGGATTGGATCACGGTCGATACACTGGATAAGATTCAAGAAAGGAGGAACAAGAAAGCAGCAATCAATACCAGTCGAACAAGAGCAGAAAAAGTCAAGGCACAGGCTGAATACACAAAAGTAAACAAGCAAGTGAAAAGGATCATCAGAACTGACAAACGTAAATATGTGGAAGATTTGGCATTGACGGCGGAAAAGGCTGCCAGAGAAGGAAACATGAGACAACTGTATGAAACAACAAAGAAACTCTGGAAATCACCGTAAACCAGAACGACCAGTGAAAAACAAGGAAGGCAAGATAATCACCAACATAGAAGAACAACGAAACAGGTGGGTAGAACACTTCAAAGAACTCTTGAATCGACCAGCCCCACTGAACCCACCCAACATCGAAGCAGCACTCACGGACCTCCCAATTGATGTTGGCCCACCAACAATTGAAGAAATCAGCATGGCTATCAGACAAATCAAGAGTGGCAAAGCAGCAGGACTAGACAGCATTCCAGCAGAGGCACTGAAAGCAGACGTAGCGGCAACTGCAAGGATACTCCATATTCTCTTCAAAAAGATCTGGGATGAGGAACAGGTACCAAAAGACTGGAAAGAAGGACTTCTAGTCAAAATACCAAAGAAAGGCGATCTCAGCAACTGTGACAACTACAGGGGAATCACTCTTCTTTCAATACCAGGAAAAGTCTTCAACAGGGTATTGTTAAACAGGATGAAGGACTCCGTAGACGCCCAACTTCAAGACCAACAGGCAGGATTCCGTAAGGATAGATCGTGCACAGACCAAATCGCAACTCTACGGATCATTGTGGAACAATCAATTGAATGGAATTCATCACTCTATATCAACTTCATCGACTACGAAAAAGCATTTGATAGCGTGGACAGAACAACCCTATGGAAGCTTCTTCGACACTACGGCGTGCCTCAGAAGATAGTCAATATCATACAGAATTCCTATGATGGATTAAACTGCAAAATCGTGCATGGAGGACAGTTGACAAAGTCGTTCGAAGTAAAGACCAGTGTCAGGCAAGGTTGCTTACTCACACCCTTTCTCTTCCTCCTGGTGATCGACTGGATCATGAAGACATCAACATCTGAAGGGAAGCACGGGATACAGTGGATAGCTAGGATGCAATTGGATGATCTAGACTTTGCAGATGATCTGGCTCTTCTATCGCACACGCAACAACAAATGCAGGAGAAGATGAACAGTGTAGCAGCAGCCTCAGCAGCAGTAGGTCTCAATATACACAAAGGGAAAAGCAAGATTCTTCGATACAACACAGCATGTACCAATCCAATCACAATTGACGGAGAAGCTTTGGAAGATGTAAAAACCTTTACATATTTGGGCAGTATCATCGACGAACACGGTGGATCTGATGCAGATGTGAAGGCACGGATCGGCAAAGCAAGAGCAGCATATTTACAACTGAAGAATATCTGGAACTCAAAACAATTAGCAACCAACACCAAGGTCAGAATTTTCAATACAAATGTCAAGACAGTTCTACTGTATGGAACGGAAACCTGGAAAACTATGAAATCCATCGTCCAAAAGATACAGGTATTTATTAACAGTTGTCTACGCAAAATACTTCAGATCCGCTGGCCGGACACTATAAGCAACAACCTACTGTGGGAGAGAACAAATCAGATCCCAGTGGAGGAAGAAATCAGGAAGAAGCGCTGGAAGTGGATAGGACACACATTGAGGAAAACACCCAACTGCGTCACAAGACAAGCCCTCATATGGAATCCTCAAGGTCGAAGGGGGAGAGGAAGACCAAAGAATACATGACGTCGAGAAATGGAGATAGATATGAGAAAAATGAACACGAATTGGATGGAACTAGAAAGGAAGGCCCAGGACAGAGTGGGTTGGAGAATGCTGGTCGGCGGCCTATGCTCCATTGGGAGTAACAGGCGTAAGTTTAAATTTGAATATATTTTTATACCAATAGCGTTGGAAGTGATTTTAAAAACTCTAGTAAGGAATATGTTAGGAATGGTTTATTTCATGTATCTTCATCGTTAGACAAACAAAAAGTGAAGATATTGAATGCGTATGAAAATGTGAACATATGGCATGTGATCGGATGAAGTGATCAACTACAGACTTGGTTTATATATGTCGAAAACAATTGATGAAATAAGTGAATAGTAGACGTGCACACAGACACCAGTTATAAAGAAATGTATATTTATGAGAATGAATGACTACGCTGACGAAAGTAAGTACGAAATCGATAGTAAGATTAACAGAAACACGATTATTACTCAGGTAAGAGTTAAACTATAAACAAGTTCAACAAGCTTGGGTTTTCTGCAGGTGGAAGCTATCTCGACAATAAATGAATGTCCTCCTTTAAACAGAGACCACTATTCAGTGGTATATCAATAAATGCGAATGAAAAACCCCGATCTTGATACTTTGATAGTTTAATTACTCATTCTTTACTAAAAAATGTGTCAGAAATTGCTTACTTTCTTAACTAGTGTACGATGAAATTCAGGTAATTCTCCAAAAACGAGTGAAATGTAATCTGTGAAATGCATAATTCCATTAAAACCTGAATGAGCCTCTAACGCATTCCATAATAAATCTAAGTTCTCTGTCTAAAAAAAAGTTTTAGAATATTATTGATTAACTGACCATTAAAAGTAGTTTCATCAATAGTCTATTAAGATTATAAGAATTAAAAATAATGAGTATGATGAGTAAGATTTTATTAACATGGTTCTCTCTTCTTTTGTCTTAGTAACCAGATTTATTTTTAATCATTTCAAAATTATGTTCAATGAAGTTTACTTTATGAGAAACCAATGCATTAAATTAATGCACACTAAATTGTTATCATTATGGTATTGACTGTTAAATGGACAGGCAAAATATTTTTTATTTGATCTTAAATTATAAGCTTTGACATAGTGGTACGACAGCAGCAATCAGATTTCAAAATCAATGACGAATGGTTTGTAACTTGTTAAGAGCTATGTAAGAACTCTCCATAACTTAGCAATACATCGCTACTTTGATGGTGAAAATTAATAAACACAGCATGGCTAAAGAATAGGCACAAACTTGAGTGATCCTTAGAATGACGATGGAAATTAATTCTTTTTGGGGGAAAAAATGGTGAAAAATAAATAAATTGAAAACACATAACATTTGACAGGATTATTAAATTTTATAAAGTAACCTCACACCTTTTTAAACCCATATAACCACCTGCACAAGTATTTATCACTGTAAATACAAATCACTATCCTACTTCAGCAATATTCTCTAACCCTGATTCATTTTCTTCTACTGTAAAAAATAATTCACGTGAAAAGATTCATTAATCACATGAAAACTTGTTCATTGTAATTTTATCATAAGTTGGTTCTCATATAAGCTCGGTTTTCTGAATGATTGACAAGCTAATCAAGGTCGGTCACATAGTTGACTTCTTGATATGAAGCGGCATCCGAATTTACCAAACATCTAGTGAATTTAATGCTTCTGGTATTCACTAAGTATATCAACCTAACTCAATCAAACAAAACGAAAAACATGAAAATAGATGATCATATGACGTGAATTTGTAGATCCACTGGGAAGTATTAAAGGAATTCTTTTATGGTTATAGTGTTATGTCATACAGATAGGTTTGCTGTTTCCCAATCATTAATTTTTTGTCCGTCCAACGTTTATTTTTCAGCTCTTACATCCTTCTGGTGAGTTTGGTGAAGTTTCAGTGTTATCACTTTCTACTGCTTTGTGAACTATACGTTATGGTTTAATTATGGCGTTGACATAACAATAGGATACCAATCCGATATACATATATAAACACGATGATGAGGAGAAATAAGAACTCATATACTGCATCACATATGCAAAAGTATCGAATTATCCTAATTTGTGTAAAGTAAGCCATATTTTAGAAAAGCGTTCCATCGGCAATTTTTTTCAGTAAACGTTTGGTTAAAACAAACCAATTTCTTTAAGGATGAACAAAATTCAATAATTGCAACTAACCTTGTCTAGTCCTGGAAGTCTAAACCATATTAAGCCATCCTCGAATATTTTACGAATTAACTGTTTCTTTATATTTAATTCGTCTTCTTTTGAGAGGTCATTGTTATTTTTAGTAGTAGTGTTAGTTGTAGTATCACCCATCAGTTGTTTGTTACTTTTTATAGAGTTTCGGTAGTATAAATGTAAATTTAAGTAGGCTTCAATTGGACTATTACGTTTTCGTAACTCTTGACGCCATAAACCTATAAATGTGAAATAAACATTAAATACTGACCAAATACTTAAAAAAACGATTAGGAAGAAACAAAGGATAGTAATCTCATCTGGATCAAATATGAACAAACAAAAACGAAATTAACAAGTAGTAAAATATATTGCTTAAAATTCTGAATTAAAATATACAAAATTTATGCTAAATTATATGAAAATACTTAATTATATACGGAACTCCAATTTGACACTGCATGAAAGTTTCCATAAACCTTTATACTGACTAAGGTTGAGGAAAGTCCTCTGCAGTTCCTGGTTATATGTATGGCTCCAAGCTAAATCGAATAAAATGCGGATTGCTTATTATTATCATTATAATTATTCGAACAGCATTTACAGTGTTACAGACTAAATGCAGGCCTTATGGATTTACGTTAGATGGTTGAAGGAAGGATTCCTTCTGATGGCCTCCAACGCCACAACATAAAAATGTGGTGCACGCAATCCCGATTTACTTGGACCAATGACCACATTCCAAATTAATCAATATAGTTTGATTACAACTAATGGACTGGACAAATATGTCATTGATTACTACTCAGAGACCAATCGATGTAGGTTCTGTATTTCAAATGCTAGTCTGTTTAGAAAGTAGTGGATATGTTCATGAGCTATGTAGATCAAAAGAAATAGGAGTAAAATATATATAAGGGACATTATGTCATCTATATTCGACACTGATATCTCACACTGACTAAATATTTTTTAACAAAACATTATCCGCCAAGATAAATCTTTTCAAGTTATCGTTGCATTTACCTTAAAACTTGACAAATCTATTGATTCAAATCATCTAACCTTACTACTTGTAATAATGAAATGGACAATTGATTAGTCATATGGTAAAAAGCAATTCAGTATTTATTGTACGTTGAAGCTATCAGTTATACTTCGTAAATATTGCATTCTTATACTTACAATAAAGTGGTCAGTAATAACATCAGCAAAAACGGTTATGAGAATATTGATGATGGATATATTTGTTTTATTCGTTAAATTACAGGTCACAAAATCATTTGCTCGTACAATTCAAAATACTCACATTGTAATTTAAACAACTCCATCATATATCTCGGCCTGATTAATAAACGTGCGACATGAAGTTTTGCCATTACAGAAAACCACTGTTCTTTGGGCACCATCTGTCGTGATAATTCTGATTCACTATGGCACAAAACGTTTTTAAAAATGTGAAAAACAAGTAAACATGGACGAACTCTTAGATAATCAAGGTGATATTTCAGCCTTTAATGCTCCTTAAAGTTTGTAGACCATAAAGTATAACACGGCAGTTATACAAAACAATAAATAACCATTATATACTGCGTTGGGTCTTAATTGTCTGAAAATTATAAATGAAAAGGATTGTGCCCACAAATATTTATCATCAAACCATATCAACACCGAAAAAATAAACGATGTTTAGAGAAATCAACCCTTATTTTTCAAGTGTGATGATTAGTGAGCTTTATTAAGTGGGATTTAATACACAAACTCTCCTAAACTACTACAAATGTGTTTAATTGTTCAATTTTAATGAAGGAAAACTAGGTAAAAAGTTTTTTTACAAAACGATTATTTAAAAAAAAGTAAAACTTTAAATGTTATGGTACTTAATATTTGATCATAAATATCTGCTTTTTATCATCTTATACGTATTCTTGGTATCATACTTCTCGATATAAATTTATTTGAAGCAGTTTCTGCCCAGTAGGATTATTGGCTACAAGGAATAAAGAATAGTAACATTTCTGAGTTTAGTAATAATGTTCTTAAGATAATGCATTGCTATGGTAAGCAAATGGTAGAACAAATAATCCACTAGAAGTTCAGCACCTGGTGATGACTCTGTTAGTTTTATCGGAAATCAGTTAAAGGTATCCAGTAAAGAACCCAATTTAGCATCTCGTCATACTCTAATCTTACAAGATCTCGAATACCCAACTAAATACACCATCCCTTCTAAACCGGTTTTGTATTCTTCATCGACCAAATTTTAAGGAAATATTTGGAGATATTACATCATTAGCATCTTATTCGTATTTTCGCCAACCAAACAAATGTCATCTTGTTAATACCTTAGCGATTAAATTCTATCACTCAAAGTGTACTACAATGTCGAATAACTTAACTTTATGGCCTTTCTAAAATTAAATTAACAGAATTCAACCTTTACTGAGGGCTAGATATCACGTTGTTTACTCCTCGTTCGTAGATTGCAGTGAACATCTGGGTTAACTGATTAATTTTTTAAACTGACTTTATTTAAAAGACATTAAACTAAATTTATAGACTCGATGTTATGTTTTTTCTCAATACATTAAACTTACATTGCGTTACGTTTACTTAGTCGATCTACTCCAGTGATAAGAATGCGAAGAATATTTCCAGTGTGATGCAAAAACTGTTTTAACGGATTAGGTGGATTATGGTTATCTGAATAACGAATAAATAATATTGCTCCTGGAAAAAAATCAATTTCTGGTAAATACACCTGACCATTTCTTGCTCCCCATACACAGTGATACAATGATCGACGTAGAAATGGTAATGGTTTAGAACTAATGTAATGTTATGTGCAAAACAGTGAAAAAAACACTGGTGAATAATAATGAAATTCCAGTGGGACAATATAAATTATTTAAGCTTAGGGTAAACCGATAGAGATGACATGAATTCTATTTTTAAAAGAAATGACTAAAACGAATGAGACGATAGCTTAGTGTTCAAAAATTTAGACTTTAGGCAGATCGGTAGCAAGTGTGAGCACTTCTTATCTACATCATATAGAACTGTTAGATAGTGCTTGCAAGAAACGTGGGATTTAAAGTTGAATCCATAAAACCTGTACCTGATAGCTAAGTGACCTTTGCAAAGGGAAGCGTTCTTATCGGAATCATGAGATGATCAAAGTTACAAACCAAAGAGAAACAGATTTATTTAACATCATGTAGTTATAGACTATTACTTAAATGGTGAACAGTTTCCGTCATTATTTTCAGTGATTCTTTAATACTAGTCTTCATTTAAACCCTACAACCCACTATCAACTGAAAATGTGATCAGATATTCAAAAGACACGTTAATTGTTTGCTAATAAAACCTTTATTGGAACCCAAAACTAATCCTTTTTGGAATCGTATTGAGTAAGCACGAATTTTTGTGTACCATCATAATTATCCATATACCAGACGGAGATAAACATTAAAAGAAGCAAATACGCTGTTTATTCATTTTTACAAATCACTTATCACATTATTCTAATTTTTATCATTCATTCTTATTTCGTATTTATGTGGTTACCTCATATTTATAAACAAATTTCGCTTCCACACACATTGGCTTAGTATTTCAATGATTATTTTTGTTTTATGCCAAATGGTGATGGCAATCAATCATTACCTTATTAACGTTTTGGGTACTTATTCAGTTAAAAAGCAAATAATTAATGTCTTTACAAATGATTCTTCACTCCTAGAAAATAGGTATCTGTAAATCACTGATACTCGCTATCCTGACAAAGACTTTACACATTTTAGGTCACATCCATCAGTGATATGTTTTGACTTATTGAAGCTAGAGTGCACTTTCTATTAAACTTATTAAAACGTGGTCAGTTTTTCAACATACTAATGATGCACTGAAATAGAACAAATGTTGTCAAAATTCACAGTTTGAAAGTGAGGTTGAAAAAGATGAAGCATACACAAATGTTCAGTCTTATTGAAAATCGAAAGGTTCAGATTGATTTTTAATCTATGCTGTTAGTGGGATTAACAATACAGATTTACAAGCTATACTATGTACACCACATAAAAATCTCTCCCAACGGATTAAACAAAATTCTTAATAATAACGGAAGTAATATTTCAAAGAGATAGCTAACCTAACTCCTACTTTATGATCTTCATATAATGCCCACGTAGAATCATTTGGAAAGGCTATTCCAATGAATTTACGTAAAGCAAATGAAGATAATGAGTTAGTCCAATCCATATCGCTTGTCTGTCTAAATTGTTTGTCATTTGATATATCATCCATATTAAACACAAGGAGACGTGCAGTAAACCAAATTCTATTTTTGAAATTAGTTTGAACATCATTAATAATTTTTAAATGATCTAAATGTTGATTGCTTGGTCTGTGCATAAAAGAAAATAAAATAAAAAAACGAAATGAACTAAAATTTTACTTTTTGATTTATATATATCGATAAAAAAATGACCAGTTCTCACTTATTTTAAGGTTGAGCGAAATATGTCTCCTTTATAAAAAGACTTAGTGTTTTTTATGCTCAGTGATTTCAACTGTACTTAATGTGTTAGTAGATTTCACTAAAAGAAATGACCACATATAATTACCGTGGAAAAACTGCTAAGAAACTGTTGATATCATCAAAATAAATTGTCAGAACTTTGATTTCCTGAATACCTATACGAAGCTAACTACAGAATAAGAGTTAAACTTTATATTGTCTTGTAGACTGAAAAATGCATAAATACATAGAACTGATATCAGTTTTGTAAACCTGATATTAAGTTCAATAAAAAGAGTATATTCTTCTCGGTAGTGACATGGTACGAAAACGTTTACATAGCATATCTTTTCGATTTAAATCTGAAGTTCATATAACTTTCAAAGTGGTGATTAATTTAACTGATAGTAATAATACAACTTACAAACAATAATCTCATCAGGAAACGTTATATAGAATTTATCAATTGATAGTTTACTGAAAAAAAACAAATTAGATTAGATTGGCTATAAATAGCTAAAAAACTGACTACCTTCAAGTGAAGATTGTTTTCACCATAGATTGACTTCAACTAAAAACCAATGAGCATTAGGAAGCTGTCTAGCTGTAGTGTGGGACTAACCAGCGGTGTGTGAGCACAACCTTACAGGAGTGTGAACTCGAGACCCTTGCATCATGTGGTGTGATACTTGCCAATCACGTCAGGACTGAGACATACCATCGATAGCAAAAGTGATAATCACACCATATTGTAAATTGATTGAAGTTGGAATGTGCACTATTGGATCCTGATACGATGCCCAAAAATTAGGCCCAACAGCCAAGTCTTAATTGATTGGTGAGTGAGTAGCATATAAACTACTTCCGCCAATGGCTTATGACATTTTATCATGTTCATGTTCGTATCCTGTATACAAACATGATACTTTATTACATGAAAATTATATTCACCCTGCTAGTGGTCTTATCTTTGATTGTTAATCATTTGGAAGCTTGAGTTTCTAATACAATGTTGTGAACAGCCATATCAAATCACTGGGCTCATCTAGAGATTAGAGGTTCGTTCCTCTATAACAAACTTAATTCAATGACCTAACATCGACCGTGAAATCTGGGGTTCCTGAATTCCATCTTATATGGAGCCATGGATTCAAAACCAAGAAAAAACGGCTGTTGAGTAATTTCAATAAACCTTGTGTTTAATACAGATAGATAGGATAAACACAGAACTTGAAAAAGATGTATATTGGTCAAAGTAGCCACACTACAGTAGCACAACGAGTTGAAAAAAACAGAAGGAATAGAGATCATGTGGTAAAAACGATTGGAAGGAAGAATAAATTTTGGGAACAGTTTGAAAAGACAGACGGGAAAGATATGTAGGAAGAGTTACTGCAACTTAAGATCGTGTTCAATATTTATAATAAAACATGATAGACCCTAACCAACTCTTCATTACCGCGTACGATGTAAGGACTTTTCTAAACTAAATATCAATGTTGTTTATCAAACGCTTTGACCATGAACTGAATGTGTAGTTAGCGAATTGAGAGATTATTTTGCGTATTGTTACGACTAACATTCAAGTAACACAGTTATTCTGGAAAATGACTTCTGCAAATCCTTAGTCTTATCATACAATCACGTGTACACGAAATTTTGAGTTGATTTCTGGGACAGAAACATTGTAAATCCAAATATATTACTGAGAATATTGCTGTAAAAATTAATTATTCTCGTACGTCACTCTGAATTTAAAGATCCTTACCAATAAACGGAGTTAAAAAGCAGCCATAAGGGTTGGTTAATTTCGATTTCGTTGCATTTTTCCATGACTCCCAGTTTTATACATTTATCTTGAGTGATAGTAACGTTGAGTGACTTAAAGTTATCCTTTCTCAGATAAATGCTTACTTCTATCGGCATTTCCTAAAACTGGCGTGACTTAATTTCTATCTTACATGGATAAAACGAAGTTCCAAAAAATAAAGGTAACTAAGAAACAGAAGAATAAATTAATACCTTGAGAGACCTGGTGCCTGACGGATTGAGTAGTCAATCAACTGCCTAGGTGTAACCATACTACTGAAACTACGTGATGTTTGATTTCTTGGAGTGATATTCTACGACTAAGTTATCAAAAAATGTAATGTCGTCTACCTCGTATTCGGGGGCTTTACAAGCTGATTCTTTCCGCCACAGTTTTTCGAGATCACAACACATGCGCTGAGTAATATCGCCATATGACGAATATAAATCTTCGTCATTATTCTTCTTCCTTGAATGTCTTAAATACTAAATAATCACCTACCTGAGAATTGCGTACTACTTCTCTATTTTCTGTGTTGTTGAAAGATGTCTGAAATGTAAACAATAGAAATGATATCTTACTAACGGCAGATGTGTTGCCCAAGGTGGATACACAGCTGGACGTATAGACAAATTACGACTTGAGTTTTCCGACGATTCTGTTCCCCAGCTGATTGTTGAATCTGAGCGGGCGGAATATTCCCCTCCTTTGGCAACAGTATACAATGGTTCATCCTCAGAGCTTGGACAGTTATCTAAGCACAAACTTGGAACACTTTGGCGATAACCAATAACTACAACATACCTGGTGCTAGTTGTTTCTCCTTCTCTCATGGTGTAATTTAACACCTAATACCAAAATTAGGAAAAATTGAACCTGTTACAAAGTTCCCACTAGATTATAAATCCGAAGCAATTTAACACTGTTTTGTGTAAATTGAATAAAATGTTCTTGAAAACCAATTCAAGTTAATCCTTAGTAAATACACCTAAAGTAAAATTCGTTACTCTACGTTGTGATATTAAAGGCCAAAAATACATATACAAGTGATTACTGTAAAACAAGCACAAAACCTCTCGACCAAGTAACAAGCCTAATTTCTTCGATATGGGAAATAGGATCAGATGAAAGATGTGTTATGATTATTTTAAGACAGCCATCATAAACGGTTGTAATGATTGTAAAGATCCTAATTTGCTCTTCAAGTTAAATATTTGACATTGTCCGGAATGAATATCAACAAAAAATATGGGTTAATTTTCCATACTAAATTTTTCGTTTGTGTGAACATGCACATCATAGAATAAATTTCAGTAATTAAAAAACCAAAATTATATCTCCACGTTTATAAATCCTTTGAAAGAACATTAAATCTACTAATTTCAATCAAAAGTTTTTAGCCCCGCCAACTGTTCCAAGTGGTTTTGCCTTTTTTTTCATTGGCATTTGTGCTGGATGAAAATAAAAACTTGAATGAATAATTTATACTAAAACGTTTTAGTGTCGAACTTTTCGAGCATTCACATGAAGTTAATCTAAATGCACCAAAAAGCATAACATCGAGTCAATACTTATCTTTGTTTTGTACTCAGTCAAATGGTTCTTAACAGACCATCTGGCTAACTTAATGGTACTTATCAACACGATTACTACAATCGATTGGACCCAACTTAGTGAATAATAATGTAACTCACTTTTCATAAATTATTTTAGAAATACAAGAATTGAATAGACAAACATTTATTATTATACACGCATGTATAAAAACGACCAAAGTTACATGCTCGTAATCTTTGATATGTAAGTAACGAGTTGATTAAAAAGATTAGGATAATTCATTTGCCCAAAAGTAAGAATAAATCACACAGACAATTTATAATAAAGGCTACTACGAGTTTTTTAAGTAATCAACGCCAGTTAGAAACAGTGTATATTTGATTTCACTCCATTTGATCCATGGTTCCTCTACTGCATCACTGACAGGTTTTCAAGGCAACCTAAAAGTGTCACATTCGATGGAAGGTTAACAGCTATATATACTACAGTTACATGTACCCAGCCTTACAAAAATATTTAGCCCCAAGTATAAGAATTCATGATAAAACTTTTAAATAATCATTAAAAACGGATTTCATGATCCTAGCAAGTCAGGATGGTCGATTTTTCTCGGAGACACATGTGGACGCATAAACAGAACATGCGTATGCACTGCATCACTCGAATGAGATAGAAATCTAGTGCCTTATTCTCATTAAATTTCAGCGAAAGGTAGATATGTGTCCAACCAAAAGTTAAGTTTTGCGATGAGGAAGTGTGGAGAGCATTATAAGTAAGACGATCTGGGAGAGAAGACAACCAAATGGAATATAAGCCAATTACAAAAAGAAAACGTGCAATCCAATTGCATTTGTGGTGAAAAGTAATAATAAAATTTAGCAATAGAACGGCAGTTAAACTAAGAAACCTGGAAATCGAAACAAGAGGTAAAGGAAAATTTCGAATGTGTAACACTCACAACGTGAAAGAAACCATCAGTTACTATGGTATCCAATATATGAAAAAAATATAACAAAGTTTTCACACTATTATCCAAAGTATCTAATTTATTTTCATTGTATTTTGAAGTATGATATTAATTTACTCGTAGAGTAATTTTGTTTTTATGCGTCAACGATATTTTATAATGTCATAGCAACGATTTCAGTTTTTAAAAGCAGTCATTTAGGCAAAATACAGTTCATATATTCATTATATATTTTACTCCTTAAACTAACCATACATAGCCATGTCTGAACTTGCATTAGATGACAAAAGGGCAGAGTTTATTGCTGAGTATATTCTGACGTCACATAAACTCAAAAATGATAAGTGGATGAAATTGTGGAATACCGATGATATTAAACAAAAAATCACCAATTTCTTTGACAAACCTGATATCACACAACTTTTCATTCTTTTGATGCCAAGTGGCTTTTTGACGGCCGAAAATGATTTTCCTGTCGGTTCCAAGTCCAAAGCTAGCTTTTTTATGAAGAAGTCGAAAGAGGCTATCCCTAAAGATGGGGTCATTACGAAATATATTTTCTACGGTGATCTTTCATACAGCCCTTTAGATCACTTTTCCGTATTCGTTGACGAAGTGAGTAAACTATCCTGACTGTTCTTATTTCTTAGGTTCTAGTGCCTGTTTTGTCTAACAAGAAAAACTACAGTTCTTGGCCATCTGTTGTTTATGAGGACGTCATAAAATATGCACACGGTTTGAAAAAGCAAACGGATATTGTCGTTGGGCAGGCAAAGGGAAAGACATTTTTACCTCTGCCAATTGAACAAGAGCGATTAAAGGAGCATGTTAACGAAGGGTAAATATTTGTTCATTAAATCTTGTTTTTATCTGAGTATAAAAGCACAATTTCAGCGCTTTGGTCGTTTAATCCGTTTCTCAGAGATGGGATCAGTAGTAGCAAAGTACCTATTTATTGTACCGTATATTGCTCACTAAATTTTTATATATGTATCCTTACTTTTTTCAATATCCATAAAGTTCCGATTTTTTAGGGCTGAATAATCTTTGAGTCGATATTGGTAGTTGACAGCAATTTTCGCTTACAGTTCTCATTTAATATGCACCACAAATTTAGTTTTTTTATTCAGATGTATCACAAAAACCTCTTAGACGTTTTTGCGCTTTTGTTGTCGTGTTTTTTCATTGCATATAAAATATTTCATTCATAACGCAGAAAAATTCGGCAGGTGTCGTATGGTTAGCAATTAATCGTCACTTGATAATATCATAGCCTTACTAAAAAGATGTCATATTATTCCAATCCAATGAACCTATAAGTAAAGTTTGCGATACTATACATGTAGGACTCCTATACTTGGAATTATATCAAGATTTTTAACTATCTGTAGTGATCAATTGTAAATTTCAAAACATTTATCGAGTTGTTCAAGGCATCAGGTTCCGCGCCGATGCATGCAAGACTTTGATTTGACACTAACTGACGTACAGTGAAGATGTTATAATCCATCATTTATCACTGTTGTTGAGAAATACATGTATATCTACCGATTCACACTGATTTCTCTTTTTTTACTTCATTTGTATCCCAATTTTCAGTATTATTGTAGCTTGATTTTGTTCACTCCTGGAGGGGATATTTTGTCCTATATATCTGTCTGTCAAATTTTGCTTTTAACCAGAAGTATCTTACATCAACTAGACTGAATGTTAACTTAAATATTTTAATAAACGTCTTCACCGCCGTGCTATTTGCTAATATTTGTGTATTTTGGCTAACATTTATCGTTTCGCCTCATTTGCTAAAGCAAGTCATGACGTAAGCGCAGTAGTTTGCCCTTTTTTTCTTGTGTAAAACAGTAAATAAATGGCCAGTGGAACCTAGAGATTCGCGAACAGTTTCAAATTCTACACTCATTAAGGCTTTCTGTTCTACAATATTCTAGAATATCGTCAGACTTGAGGCGCAGACTGTTTCGTCTTCCGGTTATAAATCATAAATATAAGGCCTTCACTCTAGAACGCTAATACATGCACTTGCACACTAGTTTTCTGTTTTGTTGAACGCCTTTATTCTCACAAACATTTTGTGATTAAATTCAGCAAAACACTAGGCAATTAGAAGAGGTGGAACAAAGGAGGGTCTTACAAATTATAAATAAGTTGTTTGTGTTTGAATTATCGTTTATCAAAATCCTACAAAACTTTTATATCAAAGCCAAACTTCCATTTTATTACATAAAAACTTCACTAATTTATTTGTTTTAATAAATTCTTTTAGATCAACTGAACCATATTCCCCAAAATTCAGTTACCAATGACTTATTAAAGACTAACTCAAATAGTTATTGACCTCAACCACTGTTTCTTACAGTTAAACATCAACTCATGTGTTTAAAAAGAATTCATCAATTACCGTTTCTCTTTTGACTATTCACTCTCTAGTAAGGTTAATCGAAGTTTTATATATTCTATCGAATCACTTGTCATTGACTGGTCACACCAAATCCATAAAGTATTACTAAGGGACTCATCTCAACCATTATTAAGTGGATTACATCCCACTCCATTGGTAGAACTGGATTTTTGGAAGGCAAAAGTAGCAAATCTTGAAAACATCTATTCTCAGTTATGCACACCAAAAGTCAAACAAATGGCGCAAATTTTAGAGCAGGCTAATAGTAGCTACTTTGTTCCATTTAAAGAAATGTTCAAATCTATTGTAACAGGTTAGTCTGTGTTTCGATAGTAGAATTTATTATCAATTTGCTAATAAATTGATGTTTCCCCAGTAAATTTATGTCAGTAAACTTAGTGTGACACGATAAATTTCGTTAGGTTGATATCCTTAACAAAACGATATATTTTAGTGCAGGATTTTATCCTCTTACTAGTGTTAAAGGCAGAGTTGCAAGTAATGGAATCTTGGACGTGTTGTACTCTCCGTGTGCTGGAGGTGCTGCAATTTGTTTCACAGTTCTGAATAGAGTTCGTATACAATTTAGTTTGTGAGCCATTAGGTTGTTACTGTTATGTTTGACCATTTGGTCAGTATGGATTAGGCTGATTTATAATTGAGTTCCGCGTCTTCTAATATTGATTCTAATAATCGCTACAATATGAGAAACTGTATACAAACTTAATCCAAAACAGGGAAACACATTTTATGGTGTGCGCTGCTTATGAGGACAGACCTGAGAAATATGTAGCAAGAACTCGAAGTGGAACACTTACCAGCAGAAGATTGAAATGAAGATAAGAGAAAGAGAAACAGAGAGCAATTGAAATAACAACAGTATCGAAAGAAGGATGGAGTACGCAAAGGTAAACTCAGAAAAAATGTACAAATGATGTATCCAATGTATGATTTTCATATTTTACAAAGGCACTGTGTACTTTTTCATGATATAATATCTTTATCTACCGTACCTAAGTTTTTGTACACTGCAATTGCAGCACCCTCAGTACACAGAGAATTGAAAAGGGGTAACTAACAGATGTATTTTGATAAGTGATCACCCACAAAACTTCAGCAAAGAATTTTTTAAAACCAATCACCGAGTACAAAATTGAAAGTTGAAGTCAGAAGACAAAACACATCTTCCAGAAGCCAAACATGCTAATAGCGTTGCTAGTGTTAGGTCTAGCTTAAAAGTCGATGAAGTCGATACAGTCTATACTATTCAAGCCAAGGAATACAATGACAGACAAAAACAAACCAAATATAATTTACGAGGTAAACTGCATCAACTACAAAAAGGCTCAACATAAGACAAAGTGGTTGTTCTCACCTGCTGCATTTATGTAAACGCCATCTAACTATTAAACGACACTAAACACCTTTGCTTATATTAACGCGTGTGGGAAATTATGGAAATGAGTTCAACCGTGAAAACGTAAAAGTATTTGGTAAAGGAAGCGAAAAGAAAACCAGAGAATTTTTAGAAGTCTGGAACCCCAGTCAATTATCAGTCAATAGACAGAAATTGACCCAGTCTATTAGCTAAGAAGAAAAGGGCTAACAATTACGAGATCACAAAACCAGGTTAGCGGATAAAACAACTAAAATAAATATGCAAATAATGGTCACGCAATTATGGATAACAACCCACCGAATTCCAGGTAAAGAGATTATTAAATTACGAAGAAATTCTAGCAGGTCTTTTAATGAAGTATAAGCTGATGGTGTCTTCCAAAAAGACGATTACAGATTAGCGATAAAACCATGTAGTTTAGTAGGAAAGACACCTCTTTAATCCTTATTTCTGAGCCATAAAGACTTTTCACCATCTCAAAATGTAGTCTTACTTTATGGGCCATTTTGATAGTTCTATACACATTTCAAAGGAGACGATTAATCTCTTGTCCTTTAAAACAACTGTTTTGCAATATTTTGCTACTGATCACCATGATTATTGCATTGTATCACTCTATTATAATAAATATCTTATCCTCATCACCAGTCCTTCACATAACATTTTATATTGAGAATGCTCGACTAACTAGTAGATATTAATCAGGTCATTTTAGTTATAACAACAGTTTTCAACTTTTCTCACCGGCGGTTGTTATTTCAATAACCTTAAATTTAATATCATTCTATTTTAGCTCTACGTGAAGCACAAGATATTGACATGCATTTAACTATAATGCGTACAAGATTAGAAGATATGGAACAAGCTGAATTCGACCAGTTATCACAACATATTGAACCTATTTTTGATTTAATCTGTTTAGTATGGGCTAGTTCTAAAGGTTACCGACAACCAGCAAGAATACTAGTTCTTTTACAGGAATTATGTAATTTAATGATTAATCAAGTGAGATAATTATTGAAATAATTTTGAATGATTACTTGTTGGTAGTTTAAATGTAAGAATTTAGAACGCGATTCATAGATTTGTTAAAATCTACCATAAAAGTACAACTATCTATGAGTTTACTCTACACAATTTTTCTTCCCCACCATTCATTATTTTGTTGACAGTTGTTTG